TTAACTTTGATAAAGAATATCTCTTTGGTTTTGAGACTTTAGTCTTTGCAACTTCAGGGATCTTATCTATTCACGAACAGCTTGTAACACTCCAAAGAGAAAGGAAAACTTGAAATCGCATCATATGACCCCTTTAAAAGTACTACAATACCAGGGAGGAAGATCAGGTTGATGATGTTTGTCTGCCATTCTCGCTCTGTCTGCCCAGCGTGCTTGAATGCGCTGATGACGTATCCTGTCTGCACGAACCTGGTGCGCAGAGGTATGCTAATACATACTTTGACAGGCAGGTAGGAAAGCGTATTTAAAACGCTCGGACCGAGCGTTTTGATTGGACAAACATTTCTTTGCTCCTACGCCTTCCACAGAATATATAAATACAGACAAATACATTTAGACCTTAATGATTGCTATCGGGATGTGAAGAGACTTTCAACCAGCATAACACCTTTAATGTTTGATGTTAAATGATTTCATGTGATTTCTCATTGTGGTGGTGATATTATGATAACTCAGTTTCACTGATTAATTTCATCAAAAGTAATTCCATTTTGTAAGATCATTTTGATCAAAGTAATTCAGACTTCAGGAGGCATACGATGACATTCTGTGATCAAATACAATCAACTTGTTAACACGCTCTACAGCACCACCCAGTGCATTTAGTTATAACTGACTTTTAGTTTGCGTGCTTAAGATTTATTATGGATTCCCTGCATTTACTGCCAGCAAAGCAACACGTAGTAAAATTCGAATAGTGTTTTTATTTTTCGAATAATAATTCCAGATCGAATACTCGACTATTTGTGCACACCCCTAGTTGTTCCCTTGTTTTATTCCCGTACATTCAATTATTTCAGTTATGTTGTATTTTGAATGGCAACATCTAATTGGATTGCACATGCAGCGTTTGTCCTCAGTAGCATTGTGGAGGTCACTGGGTTCTGTAAGGTCATGGAGGTTACTGGTGACCCCTCCTGTAGCTGCGGTGGTTGTGTGCATTTAGGGTTGTATATCCTCCACGAGCTGTGCAAGCCAGGGCCTTCCCCGAATCGCTAACAGTTTTATAGCTGTGAGGAAGGCTCTTGGCCACAGATCTTGTTGTGTGCATGAGTGTGTACACTGTGTGAATGTGTGTGTGTGTGTGTGTGTCAGTGTCCTGCTCTGTTCACCAGATGCTGCCTTGCTTTAACGTGTCACTACCTTGAAGCAAATAGATTTTTCAGAAAGCCACATGGGCTGGTTACTTTGGTCAGGGTTGTAAGAAATACTGACATTGATATATATATATATATATATATATATATATATACGCATGTTCTTGGCTGTCTAAATGAGGACATGCCATAAACTTCTACTGTTTTTATAAAAAGATAATTATAAATACTAAAGACTAACCCTACCCCTTAAAACAGAGGGTTTGGAACTGGGTCCATTGACCCCCTTAGAAGGCGAGAAAGTTTTTTTTTTTTTAAATGTATATTACATATTTATTTTTTAGCTATCAAAAGTTACAGTGTGAATATGACATCAATAAAATGTTCAATTAATATTTCCTTTATACATAAATATAGCTGTCTTTATATTTTATAAATTGGGTCCCTCAAAAAAAAAGTTCGGGTCCTTTGTGTAAAATTGTTTTAAAACCCCTGCCTCCAGGATTTTTATTATTTTTTAAAGTTTTTTTTATTTTTTTAATACAAATGATTTATGATTAATTTTTCCAACTGAGAGCATCGTGAAACTGAGATCAAAGGGATAGTTTTTTTTTCCAACTGAGAGCATCATGAAACTGAGATCAAATGGATAGTTTGTCATATTTAGTTAACTTCTCGGGACAAGTATGTATGCAAAGTAAACACTGTCTTGATGGGGACTTTTCATTAACATCTACTGTTTATATTCTGAGGTAATGATCTTTTCTTTTCTCTAGTCTAAATCCTCACACAAACCTTTCTGCATTTTTAGATGTTCCGTAAGACATTATTTAGTCTGTGTATTAAGCCGTTTTCCTCATGAGGACTGTTGACTGCTTCCTACTGGGCAAGGCGAGAGGGCAGTAGTCCTGTGTCCCATACAGAGAAACACACTTGAGGAAACACACAGTGTGAAAGCCTATAAATCTTTCTTGTTGTGTTCTAGTCATATGTGGCCAGCCATTGGGTGAGTGTGTGTGTGTGTGTGTGTGTGTGTGCATGCTTGCACTTGCATGCCTATGAGGTGACCTATATACAGTACACACAGAGAGAGAGAGAGAGAGAGAGTTGGGCACATGAGGTTGGACCGTCTTCTGAAACACACTTCCACAGTGAGGAAAGGGAGCTGAAAGAAGAACAACAGGAAAGAGACAGTCAGTCTGTATTAGCCTCTGAAGAGGTCTGTGTATCTGTTTTTTAAAAAATTCACTGCTCAGGGCTTGCAAAATCACTTTTTTTGTTTTCCAGTCGGGCTACCAAAATGTATCACTGCCCTGCCCAACGGGCTATCTTGAATAGTGATATAAAATCCCTTCCTTGATTCACGTTGTTCATTCGCTTGTAGGGGTGAAACGGATCATAGTTTATCATTTACACATGTTTCTAAGTCTTACCAATTTAAACATTCAAGCTTTTGGAACCATTCATGCGCATGATATATCAGTTCGGTGCTCGCGCGCACACGCTCAAAGCGCGCACATACAGAGCGGCGTTTCATGCAGAGCACGAACACAGAATTGATTCTTCTTTCGCTTGAACTGACACATACATGCAAAATTATCTCAAAATAACTATCTCGGCAAGTATTTTCATGTCTTAAATGAACGTAAACAGTGGAGAAAGAAATCGCAAGTGCATCATTATATTGGATCCGTGCATTCGGTCTTAAAGGGGCAGCAGCCTATAAATACCTGCTGTTCCATAAGCGCCACCTGCTGTCAGAGAGTGACATTTGTGTCTCATTCAGCCCGTCTGCTGTTTTTGTTTCATTCAGATTTTTTATGTAGTATCACAAAGCTAAAGTCAGACCATTTTGTTTCAAATTTAAACATTTTACAATCTGAATAACATGTATGCAGCATCTTTGTTTGGATCGTGATTAAAATACACAGGCAAAACCTTAGTTTACTTGCATGGAGAAATTTCTTTTATTTGTATTATTTATTTGGGATTTGTTTTAAAATTTCAAGTTAGTATATTGTTTGACATTTTCAATTTCACAAAGTAATGTGCAGCCTTTTGGTCTGATAAATAACAAAAGGACACCTTTTTTAAAATCTGTCTTAAATCTAATTTTGTTAAAGAAATTGTGAGAAAATTGTATCGTGAAATCAGTATCGTGAATCATATCACATCTTGAGTTGAGTGAATCGTTACATCCCTATATGCTACTAGTTTTTGCTGTGGTATCGAAGTAGTAAATTGTTCTTTAAATAATAAGTGTTACTTAAATAATAAAGAACCATATTTTTTTTGCTTATCTGAAAAATGATCCGATCTGTGACTCAAAAAGTGATATGATGATAATGTAATATAATCCGAACCGTGAGATTTGTGATCCATTGCACCCCTATTCTCTTGACTTGTTATTTGAAGAAAAAATACAATATCTTTTATTCGGGCTAGTTAAATTAATTTTTGGGCTACTAAAATCCGAAGAATGAGGAATTTTTAAATTTTGCGAGCCCTGCTGCTAGCTAGGAATCTTCCTTATAGATTGCTGATGAATGTTATTATTAGTTCTTTAACTAACTGTATTGTTTGTCATTGTTAGTTGTTTGACAAGGCTTGAAGTTAATACTAAAGGTATTGTGTCCCTCATACAATAACTGATAAACCGGAGCGAAAATAGACATGCCCACTCTTTGTAAAACCCCACCCTGCAAACAATCTAGTGTACAGTCAAGAGTTTAAATAGAATATGATGCATCAAGGATTCATAATTTGTGAGTACATACTGTATCAAGTGTGTGATTTGTAACAGGATTACCATAGTATTAACATAGTAATATACAAAACCCCAATTATCAGTGAATGTCCAAAAACTTGGCAGTACATGTCCAAAAACACTGTTACCATGATACTTGTTACCATGATGAGCCAGGCATTTTAGAACCTGACCAAAGACAACAGGATTAATCATGTAAAAGTAAAAGTAAAGAAATTATAGATCAATATTCCTGTGAAATATGAGATATTCTTATGAAAATGTTGCTAAGTTATTACTCCCATTATAACACTACTTTTTTCATTATGGTTTGCCCCAAGAACACATTAATATGCAAATTAGATGCAATTTATAGATACATAGTATAGAATGGTAATATCAATTTATGGACATTTTATGCACATTCCATAAAGTACAGTAGTATATCATTGTTATATCTTTCATAACATAGTTGAGAATCATCTTTGTACAAAGTTTGGCTAAAAATAGCCTGAAACCTAAAAACTGATTGGTTAATGAAAAAATAAAACATTGTTTTTGCCTATAGCCTACATGCCTTTTCATGTCTATTTTATTTATTTTTTCTTTTAATAACTTAGTCCTGGTGTCCTCCGCAAAGGACATAGAATAAAATATGAATAAAATATATTTTTTCAAAAAGTTTTTCTCCATTTGTTTCTTATGCTCCAACCAATGTAATGACATAAAAATCACCAAAATTCACAAAACATTTTTTTTCTGATTCTCATGAGGATAATTGCATTAAATAAAATAGATGCATTCAATGCTCAAGCACTAAATTAGCATGAATTCTTGTTGGCTGTCAATGTTTTTATCATCATGATTCCAACGCGGTTCCTGTGTCGTTTTCGTTAAAGTTGTAGTTTGGACTTCTCTATTATCTTGGAATTAGATTGATTATTAAAAACTTATAGTTACGTAGTTATCTTTCTTGGTGTGAACAGCATTAAGCCAGTATATGAACTAGAGTAGTGCTCCTGTTACTCAGTGAGCTAGCTTAGCTAAATGGTGTTTTAGCTAGTCTATGAACTTTTCTGTGTATTTGTCTGAAAGTATGGCCATCTTACCGCCTTCTCTTTCCTTTACATGCCCGGAACGATACGGGACGGCACGTTTCAACAATGGTAACTGTTTGTACTGATGAAGGAAAAGCATTTTGGTGGCCCACACTGCATTAGCATTACATTTAGCATGATTTGCTAACCTTTTAAATGTACCAGTTGTTTGAGGAAATCACTCCAGGGCCTTAAAAGCTTATTTTTTATGGGTCTCGATTGCACAAAGTGCTTCTCAACTAATGTGTCATGACCCAAAAATGTGTGTCAGGGCTGTTTTGATAAGGTTGTGGACAGCAGGGGGAAAACAACACTAAATGCTAATGATAAAAAGCAGTTTTGGTACTGTGAAGGTTACCACTCGAGGTCCTGAAGCAAAACCAGTTGGGAATCACTAGGTTAAAGGAATCCAGTCATCCCTAGTTAGTGAAAATACACATGCCAACTATTGAACCTGTCCTCCTTGCTTCACTTAACAGGCATGTACCGTTATTACAGAGCAATTCCACAAACCACCTGCTGTTCCTCCCACAGAACAGAATGTATTGTGATGATGTGTTTTCTGTGTGAGGAAAATGGCTGAAATATTTGGTTTTGGAGATGTCAGTGAGTAACGTGTGGTCATTGACTCCAGATGAGTTGCTCCGAATCAGATTTGAGGAGTTCGATCAGATCAGGGAAGACTGGGGAATGTGACCAAATCGCTGACCACTTTGGTGTTTATTAATTTAATTTGATACTGCCATCTTGTGGCTATTTATTGTTAGTGGCATTGTAAATTCAGTGCAATGTTTTTTATGGTTTGTGCTAATACTGTTGAAATGAGACCATTAAATCTTGATTACTGTCTCAGATCCTTAACCGCTTCACCATCTCAAGATGCAAATGTAATCGATTAAGCAAACCATACTCAAAGGAAATTAGTTTAAACATAAGGGAAAACTAGAAACTAAAGATTTTGTTATCAGTTTCTGAGATTCTGGGGCACCACTGAACCATAATGCATATAGAGAACAAGTGGACACAGTGGTAAATGTTCTGTGGCTGATCTGTCAAAGTGTGTCCAAAGGCTCAGCTTAAAATCATCCAGGAAGCCACAGTGGATCCTAAAAAACTCTTCCAAAGAAATGTGGGCTGGGAGAGGAGCAATGTGAAAACCACTGCTAACCAAGAACATAAACGCTCATCTCTCATCTGCCAAAGAGCACCTGGCTGATCCCCAAGACTTTAGGAAGAATGTTCTGTGAGTCAAAAATGGAACCTTTACGTCTGGCATGAAGCTAAAACAGCATTCCACAATCTAAGAGCATCTTACCAACAGTCAAACGTGGTGGTGCCAGTATGAGAATGCCTTGCTTCTTCAGAACTTGCCATGATTGGTTTAATGGTTAAGTGAAATTGTGAAATCAAAGTAAATAAATAAAAACCCTTATGAAATATTGATGTGGTGGAGCCATGGTGCAGTGTGACGTTTATTTTAGAATTAATATGAATGAATTAATAAAATGAATAGAATTAATATAAATTATGCTTTTTTTATTCAGTTCAATGTCTTTACTGTTGCTTTTGATCAATTTATTGTGTCCTTGCTGAATAAAATGATTAATATTATTTTCTAAAAAAAAGGGGGAAAAAACTAACTTTTAAATGGTTTCTTTTACATTTTTCATAATTTAACTTTGTTTATTGAAATTCTTCTTCAGCTTGACAAATGTTCAAAAGTACAAATATTGCACATAGTCTTTCAATTAATATGCATAATACTCAATGATCAATTATAGTATCCTATTGTTGTCGATTGAGTGTATTTCTGTCAGTATTGTGGCTACTGCTGATACACTTTTGTAGCCTGTGAGTGATCTAGGACTCAATTTCTTTCTCTTTCCATGCATGTTTTGCTGCAGAGGATGATGTAGATCTGGAGGCCCTGGTGAATGACATGGCCTCTCTTTCGTCCTATGAGAGCATCTATGCAACCTGTGGGACACAGCATTCAGACTCCACCCCACTCTTGCACCGCACTGATGGCAGTGGGCTCCATGGCAACAGAGTGGCCCCACTGCCACAGGCCCCTAGTAATAGAGTGACTGACCCCCGCTCTCCTACCCAAAAGCTCCGGCGATCACAGCCAATGCACATACAGGCCGTCAGGTGATGTATATGCACACATAGAAAAGTATAAGTGTGTGTGTGTTTTAACTGGTAACGGAAACCTGAGAACATCAGTGATTTCCAGGCCTGGAAAATCATGCAAATTTTAAAAGTGAATTACTTTTGTTTTACGCTATTGTAAGAAAAAATACAGTATCAAAAATACACTAAAACTGTAATATTGTGAAGTAATATTGCAATTTAAAATAAATGTTTTTAATATATTTTAAAATGAGCTCAATTTTCAGCAGCTGTTACTCCAGTCTTCAGTGTCACATGTTACTTCAGAAATCATTCTAATATGCTGATTTGCTGTTCAAGAAATATTTCTTATTATCAATGTTGAAAACAGTTGTGCTGCCTAATATTTCAAGGTTCTTTGTTATAGAAAGTTCAAAAGAACAGCATTTAATTGAAATCGATTTTATTTGTGCATGTAAAAGTCTTTACTGTTACTTTTAATCGATGTAATGCAGTTGAACCTGAAGAAAAGCATTAATTTATTTAAAAAATATTGCTGAACTCAAACTTTTAAACACTGTAGTGTAGTGTCCTGAGATATTCTGTAATATTTCATAATTTCATCAATTTATGTGAAATTATATTCATTGAAAATGATTTGGTCAAAAGGTGTCGGAATTACATGCTGTAATTATCAAGAGGAATATGAAAATCCACCATCCAGTCACTGATTATGATGTGAATTTAATTTAGTGCAGTTTAATAATACAAAAGTTCTAATGTTAAACGTGCTATGTTATGGCAATTAGTTTTTTTTTTTAAATGTTGTATTTTTTATAAAAAAGTAATTTCAATGATTTAAAATACAGTAAATTATTACAAATAACATTAAGTAATATATATTATTTTTATTCATTTATATATTTTTTGTTTCAAATATTAATCAGTGGGGTTTTTTTGTATTTAAGAAACAGAATTCATACTCTCTCCTAAGGCTCTATTGATTTATATGTTATGTACGTGTGCTACATTTTAAAGTCATCGTTCTGTTCATAGTCATAATCTTTTCTCTCCCCAGAATCCTCTCAGACTGCATGTTCTAATTAGCTCTTTTACACATCACCTTTCTGCAGGGCTTCTGTATCGTTCGCTGTCTTTCATCCGCTCTTCTCTGATCTCCATGACAGCAGGGTGTAGTTTCACACGCATACACACACCGAGATGGGTTCACTCAGAGGTTCCCGTCTCTACAAACTCACACAGACACACAGTCTTCTTTCGTTCTGACTCGGCCATGAACCCTGAACGGCACACCCCCTGCTACGGTTCGGATTTTAAAAATTCCCTCAGTTATTATGATCGCTCCAACTGCGCTAAGGCAATCATGTATTATTCCTGGTCTTATTGATGTAGATCAAAGACCCGAAGACGAGTTTAGCATCTGCAGTCTATGTGTCTGTCTGCTGAACTCTGCCAAACACTACGAGAGTTCATGAACCGGTTCTCAGTTGGCTAAGTGGGTTTCAAATCTCTCGGTTTTATTCATATATTCTGTAGTGGAATCCGTAATGCAGCAGTGAGAATTTCATGCGGATTCTTCTGGTTTATTTTTCATTAGCCTATCGCTTTACAGCATTGAAGTTTTCAGGGAACTTTAGGGCTTTAATTCCCTGCTCAGTTTCATATTGATTAAAACATGGATGATATCGGGAATACTGCATGGTTAATGAACCGATGAGATCTTAATGAAACAAGAAGATGTTTACTAGTAATCAAGAAGCTAGATGTTTTAGTGTTAGGAACGGTATGCATTTTAAATCATTTTAAATGTGCATTCAGTACAAGTACAGTCTTTTTTTTTTTGCTTGTCTCTCTGTCACCCCTTGTAGGCGACTTCAAGAAGAAGAGTTGCAAGTTCGTCCGGCGTCCTTGCCAGCTATTCCGAACCCTTTCCCTGAGCTCTGCAGCCCATCGGGATCTCCTGTGCTGAGCCCTGGATCTCTGCCACAGCCATCGGAGTCACATGTAAGACTTGAAAACTGACACTGCCCTCTGAGCCCTATAGCTATTATCCATCAGACACACATGAGATGCTACATGAGTGATTTATTGCAGGTATGAGACTTCTCTGTTTCAGTATGTCTGGCATTCTCGTATTTTCTCACGTATGTTCATTCGAGAAACCTGGAGGTGCATATTGAGGTTAAGAGAAACTAAAATGATCGGAGATTGACATTTCTATGCCATTTGTCTGTCCCTGCAACTAAAAACTAGCCTCGCCCTACCTTGCATTATGGATGCCAGTGGTACATTGTTCGTTTCAAAATCTAGTGAGCTGCATTTGTAGGTAGTATTTTAGGCATCAGAGGCCCACGAGCTAAAACTGTGCTCTTACAATGATTGACGTCTTTATATTTACAAGTCACGAAGATGAAAGAAATCTGTTAACACTTTTTCTACAGTACTGACATTAAAAAATGCATTATTTCACTTAATATTTGTGTGCTACGGTATGTAGTTTTTCTCTTAAAGTAGCATATAAAGTCATTAGCTTAGCAGCATGCAAACATCACGCTCTACGTTAGTTAAGCAGATGCTTAAGACAGAAATATACGGCCCCTGCCTCAGCAGTCTAAAGGCGCTCATCAGTGTCAAAATGTTTGAGATGGCCAATCAAATCAAAGAAGGCGGGCTTTACGTACTCCGCTTTACCGAAGCAGAGTGCAAATGGATGCTTTTCACATTTTTGGGGTTCTCAGATATGAAAGTCTGAAAAGAAACTGGCCGGTTTAGGCATATTAAACATTCGATGAACAGTGAATGTGCGTATTTAAAAAAAAAATATATATATATAATTTGCATATATTTCAAATGCATTACTTTTTATTTATTTCCTTTAAATAAATAATTTCAGTCCCACTTTATATTAAGTGGCCTTAACTACTGTGTGCTTACATTTTAATTAATCATTTGGTACAATGTATTTATTGTGTACATACATGTTTTTACGTTGTACTTATATTTTAAAGGGGTCATATGATGCTGCTAAAAAGAACATTATTTTGTGTATTTGGTGTAATGAAATGTGTTTATGCGGTTTAAAGTTAAAAAAACACATTATTTTCCACATACGCAGTGTGACGTTTATTTTAGAATTAATATGAATGAATTAATAAAATGAATAGAATTAATATAAATTATGCTTTTTTTATTCAGTTCAATGTCTTTACTGTTGCTTTTGATCAATTTATTGTGTCCTTGCTGAATAAAATGATTAATATTATTTTCTAAAAAAAAGGGGGAAAAAACTAACTTTTAAATGGTTTCTTTTACATTTTTCATAATTTAACTTTGTTTATTGAAATTCTTCTTCAGCTTGACAAATGTTCAAAAGTACAAATATTGCACATAGTCTTTCAATTAATATGCATAATACTCAATGATCAATTATAGTATCCTATTGTTGTCGATTGAGTGTATTTCTGTCAGTATTGTGGCTACTGCTGATACACTTTTGTAGCCTGTGAGTGATCTAGGACTCAATTTCTTTCTCTTTCCATGCATGTTTTGCTGCAGAGGATGATGTAGATCTGGAGGCCCTGGTGAATGACATGGCCTCTCTTTCGTCCTATGAGAGCATCTATGCAACCTGTGGGACACAGCATTCAGACTCCACCCCACTCTTGCACCGCACTGATGGCAGTGGGCTCCATGGCAACAGAGTGGCCCCACTGCCACAGGCCCCTAGTAATAGAGTGACTGACCCCCGCTCTCCTACCCAAAAGCTCCGGCGATCACAGCCAATGCACATACAGGCCGTCAGGTGATGTATATGCACACATAGAAAAGTATAAGTGTGTGTGTGTTTTAACTGGTAACGGAAACCTGAGAACATCAGTGATTTCCAGGCCTGGAAAATCATGCAAATTTTAAAAGTGAATTACTTTTGTTTTACGCTATTGTAAGAAAAAATACAGTATCAAAAATACACTAAAACTGTAATATTGTGAAGTAATATTGCAATTTAAAATAAATGTTTTTAATATATTTTAAAATGAGCTCAATTTTCAGCAGCTGTTACTCCAGTCTTCAGTGTCACATGTTACTTCAGAAATCATTCTAATATGCTGATTTGCTGTTCAAGAAATATTTCTTATTATCAATGTTGAAAACAGTTGTGCTGCCTAATATTTCAAGGTTCTTTGTTATAGAAAGTTCAAAAGAACAGCATTTAATTGAAATCGATTTTATTTGTGCATGTAAAAGTCTTTACTGTTACTTTTAATCGATGTAATGCAGTTGAACCTGAAGAAAAGCATTAATTTATTTAAAAAATATTGCTGAACTCAAACTTTTAAACACTGTAGTGTAGTGTCCTGAGATATTCTGTAATATTTCATAATTTCATCAATTTATGTGAAATTATATTCATTGAAAATGATTTGGTCAAAAGGTGTCGGAATTACATGCTGTAATTATCAAGAGGAATATGAAAATCCACCATCCAGTCACTGATTATGATGTGAATTTAATTTAGTGCAGTTTAATAATACAAAAGTTCTAATGTTAAACGTGCTATGTTATGGCAATTAGTTTTTTTTTTTAAATGTTGTATTTTTTATAAAAAAGTAATTTCAATGATTTAAAATACAGTAAATTATTACAAATAACATTAAGTAATATATATTATTTTTATTCATTTATATATTTTTTGTTTCAAATATTAATCAGTGGGGTTTTTTTGTATTTAAGAAACAGAATTCATACTCTCTCCTAAGGCTCTATTGATTTATATGTTATGTACGTGTGCTACATTTTAAAGTCATCGTTCTGTTCATAGTCATAATCTTTTCTCTCCCCAGAATCCTCTCAGACTGCATGTTCTAATTAGCTCTTTTACACATCACCTTTCTGCAGGGCTTCTGTATCGTTCGCTGTCTTTCATCCGCTCTTCTCTGATCTCCATGACAGCAGGGTGTAGTTTCACACGCATACACACACCGAGATGGGTTCACTCAGAGGTTCCCGTCTCTACAAACTCACACAGACACACAGTCTTCTTTCGTTCTGACTCGGCCATGAACCCTGAACGGCACACCCCCTGCTACGGTTCGGATTTTAAAAATTCCCTCAGTTATTATGATCGCTCCAACTGCGCTAAGGCAATCATGTATTATTCCTGGTCTTATTGATGTAGATCAAAGACCCGAAGACGAGTTTAGCATCTGCAGTCTATGTGTCTGTCTGCTGAACTCTGCCAAACACTACGAGAGTTCATGAACCGGTTCTCAGTTGGCTAAGTGGGTTTCAAATCTCTCGGTTTTATTCATATATTCTGTAGTGGAATCCGTAATGCAGCAGTGAGAATTTCATGCGGATTCTTCTGGTTTATTTTTCATTAGCCTATCGCTTTACAGCATTGAAGTTTTCAGGGAACTTTAGGGCTTTAATTCCCTGCTCAGTTTCATATTGATTAAAACATGGATGATATCGGGAATACTGCATGGTTAATGAACCGATGAGATCTTAATGAAACAAGAAGATGTTTACTAGTAATCAAGAAGCTAGATGTTTTAGTGTTAGGAACGGTATGCATTTTAAATCATTTTAAATGTGCATTCAGTACAAGTACAGTCTTTTTTTTTTTGCTTGTCTCTCTGTCACCCCTTGTAGGCGACTTCAAGAAGAAGAGTTGCAAGTTCGTCCGGCGTCCTTGCCAGCTATTCCGAACCCTTTCCCTGAGCTCTGCAGCCCATCGGGATCTCCTGTGCTGAGCCCTGGATCTCTGCCACAGCCATCGGAGTCACATGTAAGACTTGAAAACTGACACTGCCCTCTGAGCCCTATAGCTATTATCCATCAGACACACATGAGATGCTACATGAGTGATTTATTGCAGGTATGAGACTTCTCTGTTTCAGTATGTCTGGCATTCTCGTATTTTCTCACGTATGTTCATTCGAGAAACCTGGAGGTGCATATTGAGGTTAAGAGAAACTAAAATGATCGGAGATTGACATTTCTATGCCATTTGTCTGTCCCTGCAACTAAAAACTAGCCTCGCCCTACCTTGCATTATGGATGCCAGTGGTACATTGTTCGTTTCAAAATCTAGTGAGCTGCATTTGTAGGTAGTATTTTAGGCATCAGAGGCCCACGAGCTAAAACTGTGCTCTTACAATGATTGACGTCTTTATATTTACAAGTCACGAAGATGAAAGAAATCTGTTAACACTTTTTCTACAGTACTGACATTAAAAAATGCATTATTTCACTTAATATTTGTGTGCTACGGTATGTAGTTTTTCTCTTAAAGTAGCATATAAAGTCATTAGCTTAGCAGCATGCAAACATCACGCTCTACGTTAGTTAAGCAGATGCTTAAGACAGAAATATACGGCCCCTGCCTCAGCAGTCTAAAGGCGCTCATCAGTGTCAAAATGTTTGAGATGGCCAATCAAATCAAAGAAGGCGGGCTTTACGTACTCCGCTTTACCGAAGCAGAGTGCAAATGGATGCTTTTCACATTTTTGGGGTTCTCAGATATGAAAGTCTGAAAAGAAACTGGCCGGTTTAGGCATATTAAACATTCGATGAACAGTGAATGTGCGTATTTAAAAAAAAAATATATATATATAATTTGCATATATTTCAAATGCATTACTTTTTATTTATTTCCTTTAAATAAATAATTTCAGTCCCACTTTATATTAAGTGGCCTTAACTACTGTGTGCTTACATTTTAATTAATCATTTGGTACAATGTATTTATTTTGTACATACATGTTTTTACGTTGTACTTATATTTTAAAGGGGTCATATGATGCTGCTAAAAAGAACATTATTTTGTGTATTTGGTGTAATGAAATGTGTTTATGCGGTTATATAGCAGCAAAAGTGTTTTGCATTGTACTTATTTTTTGATATAAGTACATAGTAGATAAGGCCACTTAGTATAAAGTGGGACCATAATTTATTTTAATTTCTTTAAATAATAGGACAATTTTTGTGACTACATCTCTCCGCTCACCAAACCCCCCAAAATATCTAGTAAACATTTTTTTGTCTA